GCTGAATGGACTTTATGAAATGTTTTTTAAAGTTCCCCGCAAATCAGACCGGAATCGATGAAAAAAAAAAAAACCAATATACAAACAAAAGTCCAAATTTCACACCACCAGAGCTTCAGTAAAACCCCCGGCTGTAGAGACGCCACAGCTCGGTCATGTGACCTGAACAACAATGAGTGGAGTGAACAGACGAACAACAAGCAGCAGTAAAGTCTTCAAACTGAGGGGAGAATAAATTTCCATTTGTTTAAGATGTTGATGCAAATGTCCTCTTATCTGGACGCCACCCACATGTTGAGCATGTAAAACCAATGAAGGCAACAACTGTCAGTTGTCTGGTATGGCAGCCATGTTGTCGAGGGATGCAACAACTCCACAAGCTGGGTTTAGTTTAGCTTAGTGGATAAAGAGTAAAGTAAAAAAAAAATAGAATCATGTGGATAGTTTTCAGCAGAGGTAGAAAAAAACAAACCCAAAATCGCTTGTAATCGACAGACCTGGCAACCCCTGCCAGGCAGGCACTGTATGTTTAAAGAGAAAAGAAAACAACAAGAGATTTCCATATCTTCCGACTCTCTCTCACACACACACACACCTTATTGGATCAGGATGGAAAGTGTTTTTGAGCGGAGCAGAGTCGTGACTTTTTGTTCTAAAGATTCCAGAGATTCTGGAGGTCCAGGAGCAGACGGAGGTCCAGGAGCAGACGGAGGTCAGGTCACAGATGTTGATGCCTGAGTGTGGAGCCACGCGTGGATACATTTCACTCTCAGCTGATGCACACTTGCCCACAGCCTACATTCCTCCCCCCAGCGGACCATCTCACGTGCACACGCCTGCACGTGCACACGCACACATTATTCCCTCACTGCTCCACAGGCCATGGAAAAACTGAATACTCCATTTACTAACCATGACCTAGAAACACTGCCGTTCACTCCATCGCTGCTCAAATCAAACCTCACTCCTGTGTTACCAACACCGCACTAATACTTTATATATAATTTAGTCTGAAAAAAATAAAATAAAAACTCTTTTTTTAACAGCAAAATATCAACAGCATTCTGACGATGTTTGCTACGGAATATATTTGATATATTTACTGTAGCTAAAAGAAACAGTTCATAAAATGGTAAAATAATAGGACTGTTAGTTGTACGACTACACACTCACACACACGTTGTTCTGAACACGTACACTAACGTCAAGAAAAAGCACTCCAGCCGCCTGAGTCATCGACTTTAAATTGTCTTTCATTTATTTGTTCTTCTTCACATCTGTCTTTAGCCGAGATGATGTTTACGACATCGGGCCGTTCCCTCTGCTGCAGAGAGCAACAACGCAGGGTATTTGAAAAAAATATTCTGTCATCCATTATTACTCTCTGCAAATATTTATTCTCTTGCGACATAAAAAAAACAAACCTAGAAGACAAATGGCTTCTAGGTTTTTTAGTAGACAGCATTTGCAAAAAAATAAATAAATCAAGGAAACAATAATACAAATAATTAAATCGTGTCCTCGTGTCCATTAGACTGATTGTGTTTGTGGAGTCGCCGCTCATTTCGCGTGTTTTGGTGTGAACGAGTTTAGAGAAGGTAAAAAGATTTCTACGTGTTCAAGAAGCTCAAGGTGTAATATTTTACACAGGAAGTAGAATCTAATGGGAAATTCTAGGAAAACTGGGAAAAAATGATGAAATAATACCAGTTAAAGTTTGGTTAGAAACTTAGTCAAAGTTAAACTTTCAGTTTGGATCAAACTAATATTTGATTGACTCTGCGTGTGTTTGTGTCCCAGTGCATGAATTTGGAAATGTCACTCACACAGCAGAGCAAAAAGTTTCAGCACCTGAACATGAACAACATGAATGTTCATGAGCAGTTTCCCCCCCAGGATCCAGCGCCCCCCGCTGCACAGAGGTGGAGCAGCACAACCTTCTCTGTTGTCACAAACTATGCATCCAGAACAGCCCAGTCTCACACACACACATTAAACACAGGCAGCGCTCCTTCCACCGCGTCATTATTCGGGCCGTAAAGTAAACCGAGGTGGAGCCACGATGACTGCACTGCATATAAATAAATGAATAAATAAAAAAATAAAATGACCGCTAAAAACCAAACCCAGAATATTTTACTCCATAACTGTCAACATTACAGTCAAGGTTATGCGTTTAGTTAAGATCCAACCAAATCAGCACCAAGGACAGATCCCGACTTACTCTAGAGTGGGGTGTCAGACATATGGCCTGTGGGCCAAAACAGGCCCACAAGGGGCTTCAATCCAGCCCACCTGAAGAACACTTCCTGTTTGTGATGTTTTGTCAAATTATATTTCATTAAATATGAATATTTTCTAATATAATTTCACTTATTTGCATAAAAACAAAAGGTGATGATCCATGAACCACAGCCGTGCTCTAAAGAGTATATTTCATGAACTTGTCTTGGTTTTTTCTTCTTGTCCTTCTTTTCCACACATCTCATCCATCCATCCATCTCATCCATCCATTTGTACCTTTGCGTTGTTGTTTCTCTCCACTTTATCAGCTTCCTTCTTCTTCTCCTCTTTTTTCTTCTCACGCTCCCTCTGTGAAGGAAACAAAGATGCAACGGTGTTTTCAGATGTGTTCGACACAAACTATGTTAAGAACTACTGTTTGTTATTTTCACACTGAGACCCACTAGAGGGCACTCTAGCAGGCTGGTGCAACTTATACACTGGAGTTGGGTTTTTTTGTTTGTTTTTGTTTGTTTTTTTGCATTTTTTGGTTGGTGCCACTTATAGACCAGAATAGATGGTACAGCTTTTCTTTTTCTTCCAGGACCATCTAAATAAATAGACACCTGAAAATCACACCTGTGACCGACTTGTTCCACCACTGTGATCAACATCAACTGACCATATAAGTTGACATTAAAGTGGGGCAGAGAAAAGTCTCAATGGTAAAGATTAGCTATGGATTAGCTGTAGCGCAGCCACAATGAGATCTCAGTCTCTAATGTGATTTTAATGCGTTCACAATGCAGATTTAATGTAATGAACATGATGAGGACACAGTGAGTCGATGCAGCTTCTCAGGTTAATGGCTCACTGTTGTTCTGCTATATGTAAATGAGCCCGTGCTGATGCCAACTGCTGACGAGCTAAAGCTAATGTCAGGATCGCAACCAAACACGCAGAGAGAGATGGGCTTTAGCTGTGAACAGGAAGCCTGAAACTCCTCCTCCATTGTCTCCGTGCATCTGTGTAAATACTTTATTTGCGCTCGCTCTGCTCAGAGACGCTCAGTATGCAACGCTGCTTATTTCTCCTGAGATCGACGTAAACGCTTGTCATCAATATTTGGAATGACAGGAATTAGAATGAAGCATTGAGAGCATCGTCTATTATTAGACACCAGACACTCACTCTCACTGATGGCCGCTGCCAAAAACAAACAAAAAAAGAAAGAAAATTCATTTAGGACTCATTCATTTAGGAAAAAAAAGCCTGAGCTAATAAAATCTTCATCTCCATAAATCTACAGTATCTTTGAGGAAAATGTCCCATTCCAAAGTCCATAGAGAAAACCAGTGATTTAACATCACAGGCCAACAGAGCTGTTGATTCACTGCTGCTGTCACTGGTTCCTTCAAACACAGTGAAAGTGTTTTGTTTTTTTTTAGTGAGGAAAATATTTTGTTTGGTTTCATCTGAGTCTTGTTCACTGCACATGGAAGGCCTCGTGGATCAGTAGATCACCGGTATCTAACAGCTAAAAACAGTGGTTTTTTCTGTGCATTTCAGTCACGGTGACCTGTGCCACAACCATGAATGGATGGATGGTGAACTTTGACCTGGTCAGGTATGTGTGTGTGTGTATTTGTTGAATATCTTTTATCTAGAAAAGAATAGCCGTGATATTTGACAAGAAATCCTCACCTCTGATTTGTTCTTGTCAGCCTGGGACGATGGTGAAGTGGACGAAGGAGCGGCTTCAGACTTCTGCTAAGAGACAGATAAACAGTTTGACACTTTGACACAAAGACAATATAACAATTAGGATTTTAGAGAATAAAAAATACTAGGTCCCTACTTCACTGATACACAAAAATGACTTTTTCAACCAATGAGATTTTTTAAGCAGGTCAGCTATTAATAAACATACATATGTAAATATATGTGATTATATATGTATATATGGTGCTCAAATGAATTAAAATAGAATAAAATATAATCATAACAACACACATACAATAACGTTGGTTAAAGCAGCTTTAAAGAAATGTTTTTCCTCAAAGACAGGAAACAGAAGATCCTTCACCCAAAAATAGTTACATCAAGGGCAACTGGACGAAGGAGGTTTTTTTTTTAAGACTTTTCACCTCTCATCCAAGAGGCTTCTTCAACTATTTTTGGATTAAATGACCTGGATGACTGAGCACCTACACTCACTCACTCGCCGTCTCTTCTTTAGTCAAACCTAAAATATTCCTGTTGATGCTCAGGTGCCTTTTCTACAGTTGGACGAACACAGACTGTTCCACAAAGCAGACAGTAAAAAAAATATTAATAATGAAATCCTAACCAGTAATTACTGTCACTTTCAATCTGTTTACAACCCAGTTCATCCAAATCCTCTCTCACAGACTGTTCTGTCAGCTGGTTCAGAAAAAACGAGCAGCATCATTTTAAAGATTCAACTAAACAACTCTGACAATACTGATTTTCAAATGTTGTTTTCCTCACTTAGAAATGCTCTAAAATATCCTGAACATCCTTCAGACATGGACTGTTGTGAACAGAGGCCAGCAGAGCGATGACATCACTCCCTCGCCCTCTCTCTCTCTCTCTCTCTCCATCACCACCTCAGGCTGGAAACCAACACTGACGGTGTCTCTCAGAGGCCAGAACACAAAAAAACATTTTCTCTGTTCTTCATCTTTCTACACTTCCATCTCTCTCTACCGCCGCCGCCGCCGGGGCATCAAACGGCCGCTGCCCGCTCTGGTTGCCCCGTGGTGGTGAGAGAAGCGCAGCACAGAAGGGAATCTGCAGAGTTTTCTTTCTTCCCTGATTATTTTGTTGATGTCTTTAAAAGGTTTCCTTTCTGCCCCTCTTTAGAAAAACTCTCCCTCCTCCGACTCTGATGTCGGCCAAGTTGTCGACAGGAAAGCAGAAGAGCACAGATGGACCGATGATAAAGATAAAGAGAGGAAGGAGAGGAGGCTGGGGGTGAGAAAGGGGGGATGATAAAGAGTGGAGGGACGACAAGCTGAACGGTCGGAGAGGAGAGGGTGAAAGAAACACAGACAGACGTAGAGGTTTGATGGTTGAGCTGATAATTACATGGTGTGAAAACCAACGACAGATGATTTTCACTCTTCAAAAAAAATAAAAAATCATCCCTGGTGTATTTATAACGGGCAAAAATAAAGGCATGACAATTTATAATTACAACAGATTTGATTCTACAACTTTTAAAGTAAATAAATGTAAAAAATATATATAAATCCAAATATTCCTCTATTTATCTAAATGGGACTAATTAACGATGTGACCCACATGGGATGCCAGGCCTAAAAAAAAAAGAGCTTTACTATTAAATAATAAAAAAAATTCTTTCAACAGTCGACACACACACGTAGTCATTTACACACACTGCAGTGAGAAAAACACCATCTACAATAGGCTACATCTTCAGGCTTCACCGCCAGGACTAACCAATCACAGGGCAGTGAGTGAGTCCATCACTATTGAGATGACAGAATAGTCAAATTATACTGTTGAATGTTTGTCAGGATTAACTGTGATTGGTCAGTTTTTATCAGTTATTTTAATTATTTGACAGCGTGAAAAAAACGAAACAAAATCACTTTCTGATGTCCAGTTGCCGCAGCAGTTGCTGCTGTTGCTGTTGCTGCTGCTTTTGCTGCTGCTGCTACAGGACACCCAGAGAGGACGTCCCTGTGACTAACGCAGCCAAATGAGGCTGGGAACGAGTGCAGCCGTCGTCCTCCGGGGGGCGACTGTGACATTTTTAGGCCAATCACTGGGCTCATCCTCACAGAGATGTGTCACCATGTCCCGCTGTTTCCTGTACAACCGGAGTAATCTGCAGTCCATAAAGAACCCACAAACACAAATACTCACTGCTGACACGAGCGATGAGCTGAGGCAGCACGCAGGACGGAAATAAAGACGAGGAACTCCGGCAGAGTTCCTGCACCGCAGCACACGTCGCTGCATTTTCATTTGATTCTGTCCAGATTCTATTACATGTCATTGTTATATTTTGGGGGTTTTTTTTCCTGCACAAACTGAAGAAACTAGAAGATTCTAACCTACTGACCAAACGAGACTTAACTTACTTGACATTTGAAATTTCACAGAATGGGAAACAACAAGAACAACTTCACAAACAGAGGAAATAATTAGAAAAAATTATAATAAAATAAAAAATTATTTCCAGATTTTTATAAGACACACTTTTTTTCATCTTTTGGCTGAGTTTGCGACTTATACTCAGGTTCGACTTATATATTAAAATATATAATTTAACATGTTTCACATTTTCACTCTGACAGCCACTAGAGGGCACTAGTGCGACTTTTATTCTTGAGCGACTTAGTCCATAAAATACGGTAAGATGAAATCTAAATGATCAATAAGTCGGCGGCGTCTCCACGTTGTTTATCGACACCACTCTGATCCTGATCAAACACTCCTCTGCAGTGAATATATAACATTTAACAAATCTCATTCCAACACAAACTCGTACACAAACAACAGCTCAGGTTGACTGAAGCCCACCTCCTCACCCTCCTCCTCCTCCTCACCCTCCTCCCCCCTCTTCCTCCCGCCTCCATCTGCACCAAACAGCTTAAAAGTGATAATGAGTTGTTTTTAATAATTAATTTGCATATAAAAGCCCAACAGTGAGTGTGGGAGATGGAAACAGATCCCAGATCAGAGTCTGACTGCTGGCAACGCTTCAGAGGAAGAAAAAAAAAAACACAGAGAGGGAGCGAGGGAATGGAAGAAGAAGAAATTAAAGGAGAGGAGCTTGAAAGACGCCAAGATGAAGATGAAGACGAAGATGAAGTGAGAAACTACATGAACAAAATGTGTTTCTTTAAATTCAACTGTACGTGTTTGTTCAGCAGTACAGAATACTACAAACAAAAATAAATAAATACTCACCGCTGGTGTATTCAGAGCCTTCTCGTCCAGGTACTTTTTCCTCTCGTACTTGTCCCTGATGAAGACCTCCACGGCTCTGAAGACAGGAGTCAAGGACCAGAACACTGGATTTAAGTGTCCACTAGGGGGTGTGTATTGGCAAGAATCCCGTGTTACAATACTTTTAAAATACAGGGGCAACAATAAAATGTATTTAATTTTTTTTTTTAATTTAATTCTAATCAATGTAATTGTAATCAAAGTGTGATCCTAGTCTCAACAGCAGGTTAGTAACACGGGAACAGAGGGATCTACATTTGGAATCACTAGAGCAGACTAGTGGTCAAAGGTTTAATTGCAACAACAAACAATGAACCAATGTCATTAATATCTACATCTTCAAGATACAGTACAGTAGAATATCAATACAATATGGTGAAACAAAATATTGTATTGATAATTTCTTACACCCCTAGTGGCCACACATGGAATATGCACAGTGTTTGCATTTAATAGTCTTCAAACCTTCAACCTGGGAGTTTAAACACAGACCGTGTATAAGGAAAGGACAGAGCCATCTGTTGGCTGCGGAGCAGAAGTGCTGCACTACTTTTGGGACATAAATAAATGATTACATAAATAGATCTTTGTGCAGTAACTTTGTGTTGACTTTACTGTTTTGCGGTCTCGTAGTTAGCCTCAGGTTTAATCCCGGAGCTCGACGTACGACCTTCAGAAGTCGACGTCTGAACCACAAACACGTGCATGTGTGAGTGACAGCTCTGTGACTCAGTGGTGCAAAGTCAGGGGGTGTAAACACACACACACACACCTCCATCCCACTCCAGGCTCTACGTTAACGCTAATCCCAAATCTCTTATCTCCACATTTCAGCAGCAGCTGCTCTTCTCACATCAACCAGAAAAGACTTAGAAGATTGAAACTGGATGACAACCAGCACATGTCCCGTCCTGGTCCAGATACAGCTGTGACTGAAGCGGCTAACGCTAGAGTTAGCCCGCACTGACTCGTCCGACGGTTCCTGGAAGGAAAGTTTTTCCTTCCAGGAACGACTGTGTCACCTTATTTGGACGTCAGGGTTTTGAAACTCAAGGATGTACTAACATGTACTGCAGTAAAACTCTGACTTGAAACATCTGGATTAAAACTGTGATATTAACAGTAGCCGCTGCGCTAATCCTCCCTCCCTGTTATCTGCTGTTCTCAGCTAGCTGCTCTGCTGCTGCCGCGTCGACTAATGGACTTCAAAAGAGTGTGGGATGATGATGACCACACACACACACACACACAGATGATGATGACCACACACACACACGCCTGTCAGATAACAGATCAGGAATTAAACAGCATTTTAAACTGGGGATTATTTATTTCAGTCGTCTGTTGGTGGAAATAAGAACATATGCTGCTGATGTTAATCACACAGATGTCTCCTCTCCCCTCACCTCCTCCTCTCAGGGACAAAACAGCCCCAGCAGTAGAAAGACTCCTGGACCACAGTGTAAGGTGACACTTTAACAAAGCGGAGCTGTCACTCCTTATTATTATTTCACTGCAAGGGCTTATGGGTACGAAGAGTAGTTTGAAGATGAGTGAATCATGTTCAACATTGAACTGGAACTGAGTTCTGAGTTCGTGACGAGATGGAAAAAATCTCGTCATGAAAATGACAATAAACTGTGAAACATTTATGTAAATAAAAAGTTGAACCTTGACTGAACAGAGAGATTCTTTTCATTTATTCTTATAAGGATACTGGTCCGTCTGCGGCCGCCTGAAGGTCTCTGGTAGATGGGCCTCGTACACCCGTCTGGCCCGGCTGTTGCCCATGTCCACCATACTCTGCAGAGGACAAGTGGACAGAGACGGACGAGTGGTCACCAGAGGAGTGGACGCTGAAAACGCTCTTAAGAACCTGTCACAGGAGGCACCTTCTCCCATTCATCGCATTAGCATTTCACTTCATTTAACTCCCCCCCACCCCCGACTCTGGTGTGTGCACGCCCTCCACGTGCACTGAGTGAAAGACACACTGTCCCTCTGTGTGTGTGTGTGTGCGGAGGCTAAATTAAGAGGAGGGAGACGAATGGATGGCTGATGGGAGAGGTGGAGGAGAAGGAGTCGGAATAATCAGCCATCCCCAATTAATTAGTCATTCAAAACAGTGATTAACATTCCGACTGAGACCTCTACCTCTCACAGTCAGCTGATGAATCGGCTCCTCGGTGGACACACACACACACACACACACACAGAGCCAACAACAGGATGATTAAATAACAGTCTGTCAGCTCCTCATTTACCTGAAAAGAGCTGGAAGTTGTTTTTGTTTTTAAGTTTTTGGGTTTTTTTAAAGTCAGCACTTTGTTCAAAGTTTGCTTTAAAAATATATCCGTCCGACTCTTTCTTCATGATGAGGTCAAACAGAGGGCAATTCTCCAAATAGCCACACACTGAGAGTGAGGGAATATAATATGTGAGGCCTGCCAGGCTCTGCTACGCCACCTTTTGATCACAGTAAAATCATATTCTAAGAATTTCCTGAAAAGGTCTTCAAAACTAAAAGTTTCTCAAAAATGACTTTGCCTTAAAATATTTAGCTATGTCCATTTTTGTGGTTAAAATTCAGAATCCTCTACTGATAATATCCTGAAAAGGTCTGAGTGTGTGTGTGTGTGTGTGTGTGTGTGTGTGTTGAATCACCTGGATCTGCTCATGTGTCCACTGGTCCAGATTGACAGATTTGACCCTGGAGATGTGGACGCCCAGGTTGCGGTGAATGCCTGCACAGCGGATACAGATGAAGACCCCAAGATTCCAGGACGCCCACCGCGGTCCTGAAGAAAAAGAATAAATAAATAAATAAATAAAACTGCATTTGTTTTAATGTTTGTTAAAAGTCATACAAACGGCATGAGTTTTAATGTTTGTTAAAAGTCATACAACACAACAGCAGTGAAACAGGCTGTGAATGTAACTGTGAAAACTCTCAGATCAGAACACGACGACGTCCTAACGGTCGGTGATCGCTCTGTTGACACTGGACCAGATGAAACCACGCGGTGAGAAAACGCACGTTTCCACCAGGTCGACTTTAAAACACACTTCTGTGAAGTCTGAAACCTCTCCGGCTGTGCCAGGTCTCCATGGAGATAAACAGGAGGTGGTGCTGGAATGACAGTCAAATCATTCTAATGGACTGGTGGCTACGGTCCTTCAGCACCGTCTCTGGCTCCGTCCTCGTTCAGACCCGGAGGCTAACGATCCGTCAATTTGACGACTAAAAGCGGCTTTGAGTGCAAAAAAAAAAAAAAAGTGCAGGCGATCGGATTTTCATGGATCCAATGGATGTGATGGTGGTAAGACAGGAGAGCAGAGGAGGGGCGGGGGGACGANAGCATCAACCTGTTTATGCAGCGGCTCTAATGCACTGCAGGGCCCACAGAGGTGTTAAAGCGGAGGCGACCGAGGCGTAAGTGTAGCGGTTAGCACGCCTGCCTCGGAAACATAGAGAAGAGAGTCCTGGGTTCGATTCCCGGAGCTTGATAACATTACCCATCAATCTGTAAATGGCTTTGGATAAAAGCGTCTGCATCGAGGCCGTGTGTTTCTTCACACCATAACAGCATCAACTTTTTAGTCAGAGATCAAGTTCACGACATTGTTTGTCCACGAAAAACTGAGCTTCACTGAAAAAATCCTTTATTTCAGAGCCGAGGTTCGACCCATTTCTTTATGTAACGAACAAATAATTTATTTTAGAAGCGAGTTTCGACCCATTTCTTTATGTAACGAACAAATAGAGTAAAACGAGGCCAATTCTTGGATCATGTTCTCACATTTATGGTTTTCCCTCTTAATAAATGTTCTTCATTGAAGTGTGGACCAAATTAGACGAGTTAGATGAGTTCTCTCTCTCTCTCTCTCTTCTGGGACCTTCAACCCATTTAGTTAATATAAAAAAAAACACACATACACACACATACACACACTCAGTGTTGTACTCATATTTGAGAGTAGACTTTACTGGGATTTGGAAGTACAAAATACGCATTTACCCCTCCTTCCCTCCCTCACTGGCAACCTTCAAATATCAAATTTAAATTACAGAAATTGTAATGTTCTCAGAGAGAGTAAGAGACACAGGCGCAGAGAGAGAGAGAGAGAGAGAGAGAGAGAGAGAGAGACTCATTGAAAACACTAGTGCCAGTTGGTAGACCGCTGACCTGATTAGCGTTAAATGAGGTGCTCCAACTCTGCTTTTCTCACTGGCACACACACACACACACACACAGACACACACACACACAGAGACACACACACACACAGTTCCATGCCAGTATTCTTCACATCATCTTGCTGAGTACACACAAAAAACTCACACGCATGAGAATGTGAGCATGGCTGCACAGATTATGCAGAAATGTCAGTATACAGAAACCTTCACTGCACACTCTCACACTTATACACACACACACACACACACACACAGACACACACACACACACACAACAATCTAAATCTATTATAAAAGTGCGAGCCAACACTCAGCTGCTGCTGAAGGAGTCAGGAAGTCAGTCATCAAGCTGTGAGCAGCAGTGGCTCATCGGCTGCTGCAGTGGTCCTACACCCAGAGGGTTGGGGGTTTGATTCCAGTCCAGGTGGCTGGTCAAAGCGGTGGTCATAAGGACTGTACACATACAGACCGTCCACCACTTCAACAAAACCCAAACGGACCTCCTGGACGAAGGTTCTGAGGGAAAGGTTTGTTTGGATTCAGTTTGCGTTGCAGGTGACGTGCACACACTCTGAGGTAAACAGAGCTGTTTCACACACACACACACACAATCTAAATCTCACACCCTGGAGTTTTGATGAGTGACAGTGAACTTCCCAACTGGGAGGAAAGAGGGAGGCAGGTAGCCGAGCATGAAATTAAAGCTCCAACTGTCAACGTGAGGAGGTGTGTGTGTGTGTGTGTGTGTGTCTCGGATCAATCTGTGAGATCTGGAGTTAAGTTCTAAAACATGGGCTCCAGGATGTTTTCACTGTGATTTCCCCACAGCGTGTTCATTTTAGCACCAAGAAAACCTGACTGAGAGTTCACCGTCTCACACGGTCGTAAAGGTTGTCCTACACCTGGAGGGACGTGGGTTTGAGTCAAAATTCAAAATGGCTTTATACGTACAGACCATTGACATAATGTTGGAGTGTAATTAAAAGTCTTCAAAATGTACAAAAACTAAGATTGTAGAAAAGAAAAAGGAAAAACAAAAAAACAGCAACACAGCAGGGAGACTACCTGCTAGCTTGCTAACAGCAAACCAGCCAACACAGCAGTCATTTGATTGGCTCAGTCAGGCAGAGTTTGAACAGGGTTTTAACCTTTGAATTATACTGGAACTGTTACAAATTCCCTGATTTACGTGACTCACACTATCTTTACAACAAGAAACTGTCACGTCAGCACGTGAGGATAAATGCACTGAAAGCACAAGGATAAGAACGTGTTTCTACGCCTCTGGTTTGGGCCTATTTTAACCACCTCTGGACAAAGCAAATCAAGGACAAAAAATAAATAAAGAACTTAAGAATTTCCCGACGTGAGTCCTCCCGTGAGCTTATTCAATCGATATTTATTAGCGAAAACAAAATGTCTAGCCGAGTCCGTGCTCTCCTCGGGGACGGAGAAAAGAGACACAAAGTTTTTAAGCTTTTCAAGGAGAAAAAGGGAAAGTGTGCAGCCCCTTTAATCATGCCTGACTGGACCAATACAATCCTGCAGGACTACTAACACTGCAGCCTTTATCTGTTCTGAGCCCCCGCACCACAGACATCTCCCTGCACTAACGTCACAACCACCAGTCTTTTCATTCCGACTGTTTCACCTCAGGGTTTTTTGCCAATCTGTCAGACAGAAGCACTTCTTTTTTTTTTTTTTCTACAAATGTCTTCTTATCAAAGAAGACTTTAAAGTCTGTTCAGCTGCATGAAAGCATTTTGATTATGCCACATTTTATCTCGAATTTAGGGAAGAACCACTGATGTCACAGCAGGAGGAATGGCACGGGCCACAATTCCTGGGTTGTTTTTTTTTTTTTTTTTTGCCCCAATGGCTCATTAATATTGGGCAAAACACATCACCCTTTGTTTACCAAATGAATCAAGGCCATTAAAAAAAACACTCAATGTTAGTCAAAGTCATACAGTTTTCTTAAAGTAGATTCCCAGAAAACAAAACAGGAAAATAAAAGACCGGACAAAACGTAAACGTTGGGCGTGATACGTTTACGTCTATTGTCTATTCAACACTAACGCTACAGTGACCCAAATCAAAAACAAGCTAGTTTTTAATCCTAACGGCCGAAGAAAGATAAATTAATAAATTATTTAGTAATTAAAGTGGCTAAGAAATTTTAAAAAAAACATAAATAACACCTAGCTACTCGAGTTAGCCTCTGTAGCTTGAATTAGCAACGGCTAATAAAATGTGTACAAAAAGTATAGTAGCTATTTTTAATTAGTCCAAAGGCAGCAAAATGCGAACACTACATTACCTTCACTCCTCAGCCGCCTTAAAATGACCGTTGGATAATGACAATAATTGGCTAGGATTGACTTGGAAAACTATCAAATTAGCAAACGTGTCACGGGAGCCAGGTCCCCCGTGATTGGCTCAGGAGTTGATGAAGAATGAACCAGTCATCCACTACTTCCGCTTTTTAGCGAGACACCCTTTAAGCTAATAAAGCGTTTTTCAATCTATGCAACATAAGCCTGTATTAGGGTCTATGTGAATGTCTTATTAGCAGCGCAGCTCATATATTTATAACTGGATTCTGCTTTGAAAACTATTATGTCATTTAAATACAACTTCCTCTAAACAAACCCTGTAAATGTTGCTAAACACTGAAGAAAAGACGATCGTTAGAAACTGCCAGGACACTAAGGGGAGAGAAGAAGTGCAGTGTTGCCCCCTGCTGGTCTATTAGTGCTTAGGAGGAGGAGGAGGAAGAGGAGTTTATTTCACGATAAATGGTTAGAGTCAAGAGAAAAATTAAGCGAGGATACGGCTCCATCTACTGGTGAGAGATGACAACGGAAGTGCAAAATGTGATTACTATGAATTGGAAGAAAAATCGCTATTTTCGTGCTGACTTTTTATATATTGAATTTATACATTTTATATTTTTTCCCATTATTTCCAGCCTACAGTTTTCTTCGTCACTCCTGAACTACTACATTTTCAGTCCTTTATTTTTGCTTACATAACTATTTGACAATTCATTCATATTTTACTATTTTTTAGTATTCATATTACGAACTTGTTGCCATTTTTTGGTCTCGGTAGACATCTTAGCTACCTATATTTGTTACGTGGCAAAGCTAAAGCTAGTCTGGCATTTTTCAACATCATGGCTATTGTTGCTGTATATAGACAACTTTACTGTACATACAAGCCAAATTTGTAGCTCTTTTTTTGTGGCAACCCCCCTTAATAAAACACTCCCGTCTTTACAGCCGATATAAAGAGGTCCTTAAATGCAGCCCATCCATCATGTACTATCACACTTCCTTTTACTCCGCAGAAACAAATGAACGTGTCGACGGGTGCCACGAACACAGTGAGGTCATGAAGCTGAGTCAATTAATCAATATATTCTCCTGCAGCTTATCTACAATAACTAGGCCATTTATCAGTAATTTATTTAATCATTAGCCGTACTACTGTCGTCAGCCAGTTATGAAGATGGATGACATAGAACAACAGCAGCTAACCATTAACTGCCTGCATTCAGAAAAGCACATTTATGTGTAACGTATGGCCTGTAATCGCAGCAGGGTCAGTGATTATACTAGAAAAAAAAAGTCCTCTACAGGTAACATGAACACACACGCACACACAGACACACGCACGCACACACAATAGGAATGTAGGTCAATGTGAGTGTGGAATTACAGTCTAAGGTTAGTCACCGCCACACTGCAGTGGACAAAGTGGGACAAACAGTGTCACAGAATCCCTAAATGTGTTATCGAACACTGCTAACACACCTAAAGGGGGCGATCTATGCAGGTGTAATGAGGTAAGGAAGTAGGATTATGTCAGGTTAGGAGGTAGGAAGGTGAGACGTGACTTGGTTGGTAGGAGGAGTAGGTGACGCTAAGACAAAAAAGGAAAAGAGTGCAGTGAGGAAAGGTAAGGTAAGGGAAAAAGGAAAAGAGGAGTGCAGTGAGGAAAGGTAAGGTAAGGTCAAATAAAGAGGTCAGGAGGTCGGAGGAAGGAAGGTTACAACGGGAAATAATGATGGACAGTGAGGTAGGATAATTTTTAGTGTATTTTTCTTTAAATACTGAAATTCACCCCCCTCTACTCCCCCCATTCAGGAGAAACTGGAGGAAGTGTCAGGTGATGGAGGCGAGGGAATTCTGGTTTCACAGATAACAGCTGTCAGATGGCAGCACAGACACCACGATGACGCATTCTACGTCAAATTGACGTCACTGATGCCTAGAGACGTTCAAATTCCATTCAGAAAATCTGGAATTTCTATACTCGTCTGCACACATGCACAAATATCGGTCTCAGTATCTGGAAAAAAAAACTTCAAAACCACAACAGTGTCGTTGATTATAATGGCATTATAATCTGCAGCAGTCCTTTGGGTTGACTGGATGATTTATTTTTTAAATGTTCAGCTTATATTATGAGGTACTGTCGTGGGTTGTGCCGAATAGTGAGATTATTTATTTTAACCGTAGGACAACATTTTCTGTAAACTGTATTTCAAAGAAGCACGAGGGAAAGCTACATATCCACGTTTTTTAAATGGAGTTTGGTGGGTGAGGGCATCACGCCTGGTTTGAGATGTGGCTGTTACAGCAGCAACACAATCTGTCACGCTGACGCGTCTGTAGGTGCGAATGTTACCGCTAAACGTAACACACACCTTTAATTTAATGATGTATACAAGGGACGTGTACGTTTTCCGCTCATAAATAATCCAGTCAAGGACACGATATCCATACCGTCAAGTTAAAGCCATTTTTTACTATCACACACCGGATATAAGAACCGTCGATTTGAAAATAAATATCACAAACACATTTAGAAGTTGAAAACCGTTAGTACAAAAAGACTGGAAAATGTCTTTCACAGTGTCATCGCTATATGTATATAAAAATAAGCTTTAAATTACCTATATTTCCGTGTCTGTCCTTCTGTAATGAGATAAATATATAACTATAACATTACTCATTTGTATAACATATCGCGTCTACAGTTCTCTAATATTATTTTTTTTATATTGGAAAAAGTTTAATAATTTCCTACAGTATTTCCTGGCATGTGTTTTATTTTGAAAAGCAACGTCGGAAATGGTCCCGATTTTGTTGCTGCCTGGACAAATCATCAGTCATTGCTTATTCATTGTTTGTTTATATCTGTCACCTTAGCGCGTTTACACCCGTGTACATTTCTGAAGCATCATATCAATGAGAATTATTATGATATAGTAGAAATCTGGTTCAGACCGGTTTGTGAGTTTATGTACAGACATTATCGACTTCAGTCAGAATAGCATTCAGAGAAACTTCTCGGTGTGTGTGTGTGTGTATGTTTACCTTTGGCCTCACAGTCGGCACAGTATTTATTATCTTCTTCCCTCAGCATTTTGGACAGAATGGCCTGATGCTGCTCGTTCTGTTTCTGAGCTTTTTCTCTCTCCGACCGCGTCGTCATCTCGACACACTTTACCCCCAGTCAGTCTCCCGTGTGTCCGAATCGAAGCGATGATTGACGATGACAAACCCACGGAACCGTCCAGAGTCTGTGTTACTGAGCGTGGCAGTGAGACGTGAACATCCCCGTGGAGCTAACGTCTGTATCCCGTTAGCTTCCAATCTGCTAACGGAATGCTAACACGGATCGAACGGGAGCATCACTCATGATGCGTTCAAGACTGTCGGAATTTTACCAACTGTGTGTGTGTGGCCCGAGTATTTATATCTGTGGGGACATTTTTGTAAAATGTTTTATCTTTTATATAGTTTACTGGTAATTAGATGACAGAGCTAACAAGTTGTTACCGATTTAATAAGGAACCCAGGTTCGATCACTGGCAGCAAATAATAAAATAAATTAACCATTTTATCCATGAAAAAAAATTATTTATTGGTTGACAGAGTGCAGAGCTAGAAGAGATAGAAGTGTTAGGACACAGTGACATGGCACGGGTAAGGTAAAAAAAGAAGAAGTAACCTTACCTCCCAGAGGAACTGTTAAAAGTACAAATGATACAAAATAGTTAAAACAATCACAATAAATTAATATCAAATATATATATATAAACACGTATGCCACACAACACATTGTATGTAATTGCACAGGATTGAACCAAATAAAGTGAACAAAACCTACGTGTTCCACTCAGTTTAAGGTTAAAATAGTAGTGGTTAGTTTAAAAAAAAAGAAAAGGCTCATGTCGCAAATGTCCAGGCATTCAAGCTGAAGCTCTGAGAGATGCACCACGATCAACATCTAAAGCCTGGTCGTCACATCACGATGAGCAGCAAGTCATCAACACAGGTTCAACTCAGTGAAAACTAATGATCAAATAAATACAATACAGCATTCAAGAACTAAGAGACACAAACGCCCCAAGGTGCAACCACGTTCACGTTTCCTTTTCCACTTTTTTGACATTAATAACTCTCTCCACTAGAGGGCAGCAGAGGCCCCTTTAATAAACTGAAGTCTTAGAACGTGGATCCAAAGAAAGATAGTGACAACATAAACTTATTGTTAAAGTTTTTTCACAGATTATAATTAAAAATGCATTACATTTTTACACACACATATTTTTGTAATAACTCCATTTAGTGTCAATGTTTATGTTAATATATAAAAAAAGTCCATTGAAAATAGTATCAAGACTGAGACCAAGACACTGAGGGACTGAAATTAAGAACCATGTGAAAACAAGGCCAGTGGCATAAATCACTACGATTGTAATTTTTTTTTTTTAAGGAGACGTTTGTGTTAACTACGAAATTATTTGACAAGGCTGAACCAAAGTTAGTTGTAGTAATTAAGCTAGTTAGCAAAATAAAACAAAGCTAACAAATCCTATGGCCTATCTGGTGCACAAATGCTAATTTAGCAAGCGACTAGAAATCGAGAGTGTAGGTGTTATTGGCACGCAGACTTTTTTTAGACTTTTGAGTTAAGAAACCACAGTGAGATTCACCGTTTGGTTATTTGGTTTTTTTTTTAAACACAATTCTCTTTTGAGAAGCAGAGCACCAGGATAACAACAGGGCTTTGGAGTACTGTGATAAACAGGAGGTCCCGCAAGACCATAATGACTAAGCACGTGTAGATGTAGTAAGTGTATTGAAAATGTATTTGGTCCTGTGTTTACTAAACCGTCGGGTTTGGTAAACAGTAAACAGACGGGGGCAAAAACAGTCGCAAGGATGAACTGGTGCGTTGACGATCCGACAGACAACGACTTGTTGAAATTTAGTTCCACTCATGTGTCTCACCAACTTGTACTGAGACACAAAGTACCAAATACTGATGTATCAAAAAGTATTTTTGAGAAAATGTAGCAATAATTGTTGTAACTATTGCACATGTCGTCTATTTTAGCAAGACCGAGTCTGTTAAAGGGGCAGCACGTCGACAGACCTGGTTCCAAGGTCGCAGGACTTGATTTGAAGACAAGTCAAACTCCAACCTGAAGGATAAATGTTTGACATCACTGTGAGGCCTGAGCTCAGACTGAAAACAACTTTATGGACCGTGACAGATCCCACTGCTGTTGAACTTTTACAGGACAGTTATGGCTCCACCAAACATTCCGGTTCTTTCCAGAACATGTAATTAAGCGCAACCTGTCGTGGATACTTTGACCGTTCAGATTTAGCAAAAATACTTCATATTTTTGGGGGGTTTAGATTAAAAAAAAGGTTAGGAAAAAAATGCACTTTAAACTGCTCCAACTGTACGACATGTTGACAACGTGCATCTCCGTGGACACAAACAAAACAACGGTTTATGGGAATGTTTAAGATGATTTAAAAACATATTTAAATCATGGGGGCGCTCTACTTTAATTGTAAATTCAATGCTATTTTAGTGTTAACGTCCTAATTAGCTTATTGTGACCTCTTGTGGACAGTAGCAGCAAATGCCCCGTCGCTGTCACTATGGCACTTCTTCATCCTCACAAACAAAACCATTAGTTTAGGCTTTTTTTTCGACTCTGAGTGAGACATTTGTCCAGGCAACGACAATATCAAAGGTGACAGGACCAGGAAGAAGGATCTAGATCTTTCCCAGTTCACAGGACAGACTCGATATCCTCTGGTGTGCCTTCCCCCTCCTTTAGTTGATGAAGAACCAGCGGCGAGGTCTCCTGGCCCTCGCGGGTGTTGGCCACCGCCTCCACCCTCACCTCAGCCAGCTCTTCCTCCAGATGCTGATGCAGCTGCTGCTGTTTCTTCATCTCCTTCTGGTTGATGTGGTGGAGGATTCCTGCGCCCAGAGCGTCGCCCTCCACGTTGACCACAGTGGTGGTTCGATCCCTGTGGGAACACAATTTCCTCTGGTTTTGTAAAAGCACAGATTTAAGTGTGAACTACAGTAAATCATATACCAGATCCAACCTCTAAGAAGACGTCGTTCATGTCTTTGTGTCTTTTCGCCTTTTAGTGAGTGAAACATTGTTCACATTCAAAAAATCTTAATTCACTTAATTTACGATTCCGACAAGTTTGACCCCAAACACACCATACAATCCTCGTTTATTAAAATTGATTAATAAATAAAATGAGCTGCAATGCTGCCATCTAGTGCCTTTGACTTTCACATAAAGTAATTTTTCCTCAAAACTACACACATCATTTTGGTGAAACCCAGGCATGCAAAAAAAAAAAATCAATAACTTTGGTTTCGTTTCAGGCAGCCTCAGGTGAAAACCCTGAAACTTTTTCACAGCTGTTGCTCTGATTATCCAACACAAAGTGTGGGAACTTTCCTCAAAACCTCCCAGATTCTCCCACCAGTCGTGGCAGAACGCAGCAGGAGGAGGTTTGGAAAGATCTGGCCAATGACTGAGGGGTAAACGTCTGCCCCCTGCTGACTGACTCCAGGACTAACAGCCACAGCGGTGACTTCCTCCGATGCTCCCGCTGCTGAGAACGGCTCTTGTTCACTCCGTGCTAACAGTCGAACACACACCCAGATATCATGACCGGTTCATTTGGAGCTGCTGCGTTTTCTGTTTCACGTCAGTGTTATTTACAATAACAGACCACGGTGTTGGTTTTCACCCCGGAGGCGACTCACGTAGGTTGTTATGAAAATATTTTTATCTTCTTAAGTTCACGTACGGTTTTTGTTTCTAGGGATGTCCCATATTAACTCTTCACCGATATCCGATACGCCAACATTGTCCAAACACCTTATTTCTGATTCCGATATCAACTGATACTGACAATGTTATCGGTCATTCCTATTTGTTTCTCTTTTATATCAAATTCAAACAGAATCTTTGGTGTTTTATGGTTTTCATTTCACATTCTGCTCTAAATGGATCTCAGTATAATCATAAATATAATTTTTTTTACTCACACAATCCAGTCCACAGCCAACATGAGGGACAGGTCGTTGGTCGGCAGGCCGATGGCCTCCAGGATGATGGCGATGGTGATGATTCCTCCTGCGGGGATTCCTGCCGCTCCGACACTGGACGCTGTAGCGGTCACTCTGGAGGACGTTGACAAATGAGCGCAAAATGAGACAAAAACAAAAAATGAACAGGCAGACGGTCCAAACCCTGCATCGACTTCAGGGACTCACAGGACGGTGAAGATCTGTCCAGCGTTCAGCTCCACGTTGTTGAGTTGGGCGATGAAGATGGCCGCGATGCACTGGAAGATGGCGGCGCCGTCCATGTTGACGGTGGCGCCGATGGGGAGGATGAAGCGGCTGATGCGTTTGTCCACGCCGTTGTTCTCTTCAATGCATTTCATCATGGACGGAAGAGTTGCTGAGCTGGAGAGGAAGAAAGAGAAGAATTCAACAAGAATTCAATCACGGCTCCTCCTACTGGTGGATGAGTGTACTGCAGAACCAAAACAATTCTCTGCTACAAAGTGAGTAAAACTTTTTGTTCATATTCTTCTGCAGTACTGAATACTGCAGTACTGACTACAGTTTTTTTAATCATCATCAGCAGGATGTCTCTTAGACAGACTACTAGCCATTGATTGGTCCACAGGGAACTGCTGACCAGTCAGGGTGGAGTGTGGTGTCCCCTGCTGATGCAGCTACCACTCACTCTGCCGGGAACTCAACAACCTGTTGGCATTCTCTTTTTAAACCCTGTTGCTCTATTAGACTTCCAGAACTTTCCATTAAAGAGTCTGGAACCCAAGCACTGCTGCCAACTCCTGGTCATGACAAGTCAGTACAACATTCCTTCTTAAAAAAAAAGAAAAAATTGAATTTTTTTTTTCCTTAAAGTGGTTAGTGTTTTATCTCAAATCCAAAACCATCGAGTCATATTTCAGATGTGATGATGCTCCCTGGATTATTTTTGGAACATTCTGAGAAGTTCCCAGTCTAAACTTGCGTCCCACATTTGCTGTGGACAGTGCTCTGGTGTAATCCACCGGGTCACTGACCCTAGGACACTGACGTGGCAGGTGTTGTACCTGGAGCAGGTGGCGAAGGCCGTGGTGAACGGTGTGATGAGTCCCGACAGGAAACTGAAAGGATTTTTTCGAGTGAAGCCGAAGTAGATGAGAGGCAGGACGATGCCCCCGTGGATAATGTGACCCAGGATGGAGGCGAAGATGTACTTCCCCAGACTAGTGACCAGGAGAACCACGTCCTCCATCTCCACGATCTTACTGCCCACCAGGAACATGATCCCAAAGGGTATGTACCTGAGGAACCAGACGGAGAACAACAAGGTTTCGGGGGAGGGGTTCAACGTAAACCATAGGACAACAGGAGACCGCGGCTCTACTCACCACATGATCCAGGACACCAGCACCATGGTGGCCTCGTTGAAAGCGCTGAAGAAGCGAATGAGTTCCTCTCCCTCTGCTCCGAGCTTCTTCAGGGCCACGCCAAAAACCATGGAGAACAGTACCAGACCCAGGATGTTCATGCCGTCACCTTCGGTACCGTAGGGAACCTGAATCACACAGTCACAGCTGAACTTGGACCGAGGGTGTCAAACATAAGGCCCACAGGCCAAATATGGCCCACTAGGAGGTTGCATTCATTTGTTTGTGAACTTGATGTGATATCGAACCGATAACGGTCAAAAAGTCAGGATCGAACATTGAAAAAAAAAATCAACCACAGTCTGTCCCGCCCCCTCCATGAACCAAAGCCCAAATGTTCAACTGTTGTGGTGCGTTTAATGTCATAAATCTGTCCAATCAGATTGTGACCTTTTCCAGCTGACACTGGTCCTGGGTTAGAAAACTGTGTGTGTGTGTGTGTGTGTGTGTGTGTACCCTTTGATAGAGGGTGGTCCAGTTGTTGTTGTTGTTCCCCACAGCAACCATCTTGTAGTCCGTGGCGTACTGAAACACAACAGGACATCAACAGCACCGTCAGTCAAGACTTGAATTAAACACGTCAAACACAAGAGGACGTTGACTGTTTAAGACGTCTCCTGGTGAACAGGGCTGGGGTTTTAGGGGCGGAGACTAATTTTATTTTAGTTCTAATTTTAAAACTGTCCTTGGAGACAGATGTGTTTTGTGAAGTTTGCTTCTTTAAACTGAATTGATTTGGCATGAAATGACGTTCTGAAAAGTTTGTGTGGTTTTACATTTTTGAATTTGAAAAATCTGGTCCAATCACAATGTCACACGTCTGGAAAAACCTACGTGTCTCTAAAACATGTCCAAGCAGAACTGACTCTGAGGTTTTTTTTTTTATCTAGGTCCACGTGGAGCTGCTTGTCATTTTGGGTAAATCCATCCCCCTCACTCTGCTTTCACGGTTTAATCCAGATCTGGATGCAGTCCACAGGGGCTGTCCCACTGTATGGACGGCCCAGTTGGATGGTTGGGAGGCTGGGATGCTGAACCCAACGAACTGGCTGCACTTTGTAACTCCACTTAATCTCCGCGGCGTGAGAAGTCAACATTTCCACTGGGTTTATTATTACCAGGCAAACTGACGGCCATTGGTTAGAAATGTTTGCCTTGATGTGTGTCTTCACGTGCATCTGCACGGACGGAACGTATCCCCAAATATTGAACTTTCCCTGCTTTTTTTTTTTACTTTTTTTCAGCAGGCTGAGGGCGGGATCATAATTCCAGGAAGTGCAGCGCGTTGTGTTCAAAAGCAACGAGGCGAGGTGGGTTGCTAGGCTGAGGAGAATGGAATGGTCTCGCCATGGTAACGGCTGGTAAAGGACGGGGTAAAGAGGCATTTGGGGCGAACAGTGGAGAGCGGCCGGTGTCTTTTGTGAGCACCTCCTCATTAAGAAGCTCTCGGAGCGGCCTCCACTAAATAAACCTACAGTGGCATCTCTGCGGCCGAGGAAATAAATTCTAATGAACAGTACACATGACTGTTAGCCATAAAACAACGTGGAGCGGTGAAAGAGTAGGGAGCGTGCGGTGCGGTGCGGTGGCGGGAAATCAGGTGCACTCACCGAACGGAAGGCTGCGGCCACCAGGTTAGCAGGAAATAAATTCCTAATTAAAGAAGAGAAACAGATCGATTAGAACTGCAAACGGCCCCGCTGCTGTGTGTGTGTGGGGGTGGTGGTGAGGGGGTGAGGGGGTGAGGGCTTCTCACTATTGTTCGGTTGCTGCCCCTTTGTAAATTGTTCAGCGACACCTATTGAGCAGAGGTGGTATGACAGGAGGCCAATAACCCTAACCTCTGTCATGCCTCTGTATGTGACGCAGCCACCCTTTCTTCTTACAGTAGATGCTGTGGTCCCCCCCCCCACACACACCCCTACCAAACTGTCCTTAAGGGCAGTTTGATAAATATATCACTGACAAAGTGAAACCAGTAAAACACATGTTTACTTTCCCTCCGAGGTTCAAACCCCGGGTCATCATTAACGAGGCGGAACATTCATTTGGAGCATTTATTCTGTGTTTTACGGTCCACTGCGTACAATTAGTCACCGATTCAGTTTGTCTGCAGTTAATAAAACCTTTGTTGTTTTTGTACCAATTTACTCACTGCTTTAAACATTAACAAAAAAAAAACCAAAACACAAAAACACAGACACCAGTCAGAGGCTACAGGTTAGCCAAACTGTTAGCCAAAAATATAAAGTAACCTAACACATAAGGTTGGTAATGGATTACTAACTGTTAGCCAAGAAATAGTGAACATTAAATGAAAATGCAAAAAAAAAAATTGCATAAAAAAACAAACTTAATGCAAATTTAACGTTTTCGAATGCCAAGAAGTAGTGAAAAAAATTGTTTAAAATAATCTTATAATATATAATATGGCTATTTTAGACAAAAATTCTTTTTTTTCCAGACTCAGACTGTTTTTATCTTTTTTTCCCTCAAAATTCTGTCTGTTTTTTTTATCACTTTAATCACTTTAACTGGAGGAAGGACGACCGGTCCAGATCAGTGTCAACAACTGACACAAAAAGGAAAAAAACACCCGTCTCACAATTCCACACCACTAAATGAGCTGGAAACTTGTGACATTCCTGTTGTGAGGCGATTATTTCTAACCACTGAGCCACCGTGCGGTCAGTGACAGGAGCATCGCTGAGCATTTCAACACTAAGGTCAAATAGAGTGTTGTGTCGCAGCATTGAAATAAAAAAAATATTTTGGATTTAGTTCCCCGACCCCACCTCACCCCAGAACAAAGCAAACAAAATTAATCAGGTGAGAGAATGTTTTGTCTTTAGTCTTTCCGGTGAACATTCAAAGCCGCTGAGCTACTAATCCGTTACACCAACGCGTTCTCCGATTCTGTGTTGGCCCAGGGTTTATCTCCACGACTGACGACACATGATCATCACAAACTTGTCTATTTGTTAATACCACTGGAGTCAACGTGTTCTGAGCGAAGAAAAACAGACTGGGCTCAAAGACTGGGCTCAGGTTTGTTCCCAGGGTCAGACAGCAGCCACGGAGACTTAGGAACGTTGTCAAATGTTTGGTTTTTTTTCAGACCAGAGTAAAAATGCCGCACGAGTAAAAAAAAAAAACCAAACCACTGACAGGTAAACATGTAATCACACTTTTCTTTTGTTTTTCTTTGTTTTCCCAGGACCTGAACTGAGAATAACTGTTGTTTGAACTGTGTTTTTTTGGACATTTTTATCCCATTTAGAGGAAAATAGAAGGTAACCAGTCCAAAGGTAATGTCAGTTTTCTAATAATCACATGACAGAGATGAGTGTCTGGATTAGCCCCCCCCCCTGGAGCCCTGGAGCTGAGTCACGGTTTTCTCACACAGCCTCTTGGTGAAGGTCAGGTCAAGATGTTCATTTAAAACATGGTTCCAACCTGTGAGAAATAAACTCTTCTCCTCCAGCTGTGACTCTGATAAGAGGGAATGTGACTGTTTCAGCAGAGTGTGCTCACTTTGTATGGGGTGTCACAGCTGCTGCTGCTGCTGCTGCCGCCATTGCTGCTGTGGTTTTCCGCCTCCACACCTTGTGGCTCAAACTACACTCCAATTCCCCGGCCCACGTGAGACCTGATTCTTAGGACTCTTCTGTCTGTGTGGGTCACTGACGGCCAGGACGTTGAAAACAACTTCAACCCTTTCTAGGTGTTTTTTTTGTAAATATTTTGGTTTGTACTTTTACATGAAAATGTTTCATGTTAACAACAGTTCTCAGGACCTTGTTGCACCGCTGTAGTACCGATGCAACTCAAAAAACACAAAAACACAAAAAGCAAGGACTCCTTCAGCAGCTCCTTCAGCCTTGCCCCCGTCTCCGTGCTGAGCTCGGGGGCTGATGTAGTCGGATGATTCACATTTAGTATAAATACCATCTTTTTAAGCCACTTCTTTGAAAGTGTTTCATCATTATTTATCATCAAGTAAGGTATAAGTTACTTCAAATAACCAAAGGCTTCACGCAGCTGTAAAAGTTCTGGATTAGAATTTACACTGACTAAAGACTGCACATGTGCCCCTAGTGGCTGCCTGGACCAAGTACCAGTCGGAGAGCCTCATTTAAACCAGTCATCGTATGAGGTCTGAACACTAACAATCATTCACACTAGGGGTGTATATTATATATAAGAATTATATTATATATAAGAATCTGGCGATATGATACCTGATATGATATATTTTGCGATACTATCGGTACAACGATATATTGAGGGCAAAAAGAAAGAAAAGAAAAAGAAAATGAACCAACAACAGGACTATTTGACTGGGAATTGGTGATAAAAAATCAATAAGTTCTACAGATTATCGATATGGGATCTTGAAACACAATATTGCGATAAATCAGTGTATCAGTATTTTCTTACACCCCTAATTCACACTAACATTCAGGACAAAAGATCTGGGCAAGAAAATCTGGGCTGACTCCATTTTCATGTTTATTCTACTGCAGGTTTTTCCAGGTGAAAACTTGTGTGAACTCTGACTAAAAGTCTATAAAGAAACTTGTTGGAATTTAGACGCCTGACTCACTCACTCTGCGGGTTTTTATCCGATTAGCTAAAAAATAAAGCGTATTTGCACGATCTTATTTAATCTTATTATATTTAATCCATTTAAACTTCATTGTAGCTCTTGATAAGTTTGACTCAGTGGTAAAATGATTTTAAAATGCTGTCAGTTTGGGGGTGGGGGGGTGATGAGGGAGGGTACACATACATACCTGGCCAAGTCCAAAAAGGAGTCCACGGGTTCTTTGTTACTGGAGACGCTCTCCAGTCCCAGACTGTTGGAGTTCAGGCCCCCAGCCCCCACACCGGGTTTGATGATGAAAGCCAGGGCCACCCCGATACTGGAGGCGATCAGAGTGGTCACCAGAAAGTAGGCGACAGCGATGCCCCCCAGTTTGCCCAGGGAGCGGGTGTCCAAGCTGGCAGCCCCGGAGATGAGGCTGCAGACCACCAGCGGCAGGATGATCATCTTCAGCATCCTCAGCAGCATCTCTCCGGGGAAGGCGAAGTAAGTCATCTGCGCCTTGGTCAGGTCCATGTTCCGGACCAGCATGCCCAGCCCGACGCCCACCAGCACGCCGGACACGGTCATGATGACCAGCAGGTTCTTCTTCAGGCAGTCCAGCGCCTTCTCCATGCACCTGCTCCTCATCTTCTCCTGCGCGCTCTTCTCCTCCTCCACCATGTGCTCCGTGGACGCCGTGGAGGCTGTGGAGTTGGTCACGGTGTGTCCGTTGATCTCACTGGTTTTCTCCATGTCTGAGTGTTGGGAGCAGCGTGGAGGTGTGTGTGGGTGTGTGTGGAGTGAAGAGGCTGAGACCGGCTTCACCGTGGAGATGAAACTGCTGCTGCTGCTGCTGCTGGTGCT